AGCTGTCCCCTGGTGGTCAATGCAGTCCCACAGGGGGAGCTCTGCTCAGCCACAGGCCAGGCTGACGGCTGCCAGCACAGGAGTGGTGGCGGGAGCCTCTCCCACCTCCTCAGCAGCGCTAAGGATGTCCGATTGCAGTGTAGGCCTGCTCCCCGCTGGCATGTGGACATCCCCTGAGGGCTGCCAGGCATGCCAGAGGGATGTCTGACTGCCAGCTTAGGCCCAATCCCCCGGGGAGCGGGCCTAAGCCAGCAGGTGGTCAGACTGCGAGGGGTCTCAGACTGCGAGAGGGCACAGGCTAGGCTGAGGGATCCCCCCAACCCCAGGTGCACACATTTTTGTACACCGGGCCTCTAGTACAAATACAAACATGCATACCTAAAATTCAAAGGTTTTGACATATTACAATATGTTCAATTTCTGACACTTAAGTTTTCATCATTGCTACTGTTAATTCAAATTATCACAGTTCACTCATGAAAAATTTTTTATTGCAGCAAAATGCATATAACATAAAATTTACCATTTAAACCATTTTCAAGTATAGATACATTTTTAAATGTTTATTTTATATGGAATGTTAAATGTAAAAGACAGAATGTGACTAAGTAAGGAAAACATGATTGAAGTAGTATTTTCATTAGAAATAAATGTGATTACTTAAATGACTCCAATAAGACTTAAGAGTCAAGAGCATAGTATTTATTTTACTCCAGAAAGGTTTTAAAAAGTTTTCTTGAATAATATTTTCATCACACTAATTAAACTGAAAGTATATGTGTAAATTTATGCCTTAATATCATAGCTAAATGGTACTATAGCATACTTCTCAGCAGAAACTATGTTAAAAATATATCTCTAAGCAAGTTTTGATTGATAAAGTAAATACAACTGTATTTCTCATTAATATACCTAGAAGTCATTAGGTTACACATTTATTGAACCTTATTTCTGTCTTCAACTGCAAATACGGCAAAACTGATAAAAGCTTTTGTTGATAACTTTGAGTAGGATTGACACAACAGTTATGGCTTTATAGTAGTATAACATTGCACAGTGGCAAGTTCAAATACTCTTGAGACTTAAGATGTTTTATTATACTGAGTTTATGTTGAGAATCTTAAAGGAAAGTTGGTCTCCAAACTACACTTCTTTCATCTTGGATTTAAGAAAACTTAATTATAATCAACAATCTTACTATTACCTGACAATTTCATGAGAAGTCCAGTCTTTACTTAAGCTTTTGGTTATTTACATATACAATCTCATAATTTTAGAGTTGTTCACAGCCTTTTCATTTTTAATACACACTCTCTTACCCCAAAAACAGATAACATCTTTTAGACTTACATTTCATATTCCACTGAATATAAAAGTTTTTAAAGTTCATGGGTAAAATTTAGTTAATAATTATAAGAAATATATTTAATATTCTAAACTTTTATTTAAAGTAATAATATTGAAAGTCTGGGTTTCAACTGGAATATTGTTTGCATTGTGTGCAGTTATTATCAAGATTCTGAATCTACAGGTGTTTGGCTTCCAGCTTTAAGCTATTTATTTCAGAAGAGAGGACTGTTTTTTGGATCTAGTGTGCCTTCTAGAGTGAGTAGTTCCTCATGAGGCTCACTTTTTGAAATACAGTTAAAGCAATAAAGGAAGGCATTCATTTTCATGTTGAAAATGCTTCTAGAGGGAACATTTCCTCATATGGTCCAACTATTAAATGCAGGTGAAGTAAACCCAAAAAGGGAAGCTTGTTTTTTCCAGCTATAAAGTAACTGAAGAAATGACTCAGGGCACTTTCTTGTATAAAAACATATTTTGTTATTTTTTGCTTACATCTCAAAGTTACATTTTGATTAGCTAATTACTTTCTATAATAAAATTGAATAGTTTGGTTTAGTTTGTGAATGATCTGTATTAAGTGCTTTTTTTTTTTATAACCTCATAGTCAGTATAATCTAGTGAGAACACTTTTGGCTCTAGCAGAAACAGAGTCCTGTTCTTGGATCTGGCTTCGTATGTAACACCAAGTACGTCATTTTTCTTCCATATGTACCTCATTTACTGCAGTGTTTCTAGTACACTTCAGACCTTCACGTGGTGGGCAGTATCTGTAGCCTGGAGAACAGTTAGCAAGTACACTAATTGCACTTTTGTGGCCTGGTCTATTCTCCAGGCTTACTATTTATTGATTTAATTGATGCCTGCTGCTTAATCAGAGGTTTTACCCACATGGAACTATTTGATAAGTTTGGCGTAAAATGCAAGATTTGTGAAATGTAAACAATGTCCAGAATATAAGGACCTATAATCAAGACAGACCTCTAGTCATTTGAAAATAGTGCAGCTGCATGAGAAGTAGTTTTCTGTTTGATCTTTCCTCCGTGGACATTTAAAAGTACTGTCTTTATTGTGGTATACACATGCTAATATTTATTATGATAGCTCATCTCTTATTCCCCATTTTGCTGTTCTTCCCCCCCTTCCATGTTGCCATTCCCTTTATGTACACCTTAATCTGTTTCCTTTTCCATCACTGAATATTTTTCTTCTTATTTTTTCTGATTTTTTTAATTCTGATTTTCTTTTTTAGACTAATCTAAGTCAGACCATACTGAGTGTACTGCTGAAGCAGCTGGAAATAATCTCTTGGCTTTTGCATTCTTTGGGCAACACAGTTTGGGAAATATGGATTGTATGCCTTTGCTGGCATGTTCTGTTCAAAATATTCCTGAGGTCTTGCAGCCAGTTCTTTTCTGTTGCATTTGTGGCAGATGATAATTTCTTGAGCGAAATTATGAGTTTTAGTATGTGTTTTCTTCAAAACCCAGGAAGTTGTATATTGTTAACAATTTTTAAACATTTTAAAACAATTTTTAAACATCTACTCCAGTTGAATAATCTGTTGAGAAGAGGGAGTAAAAATTAATATACATTAATAGGATCAAGAACTGTGATCCATTCCAGATAGTCCTAAGAGAAGACATTGAATTAGCTGGTGATATTTAGAAAAATCGTTGAACTTTATAGGATAAAAACATATGGTAAAATATTGTTTTAGAAGGAGAGCATCAGAATTGACTTATCTTTTCACCTCTTATAGTTTTCTGAGATTTTCTTACCTTTGCTTTAGTTTCCACTAGGAGGTAGAACTTTTACACAGGTATGGAAATGCTATTTGTCATGCAATTTCACAGTAGAAAATTAAAAAATGTTAAAGTATCTAGAATAATAAGTTGAAACGGTTGATTTCTTCCTTCAGCATTGGAGCCATTGTATTTCTTTGGGATTTTCTGACATTTTACAACTGATCTTTTGGTATACCTTGTGTGTGTGTGTAGATACTATTAATCATGTAAATTTAAATGCTTCGAGCATTTGTTACTGTGTGGTATCTTTTAATATGTTTGTAGACAATAACACAGTGTTAAAAAGCCCAGGGCTGAACATCACTTGGGAGTAGTAAGATGCAGATTTAGTTTAAGATTATGAAATTTAGGTAAACACTGTTTCAGTACTGCTTGTATATGTTTAATATCATGTCTTAATGTTGGGGTGGATTTGTTTTTTTCTGTCATTGTGTATAATAGAAAACTACTTAATGGGATATAAAAGAAATAGTTAAGAAACATCAAATGCTTTTAAACCTAATTTTTTCTGTCCTCATTTGTTGGCCTTATTTTAATGTTTCTACACCTTTACTCAGGGATTCCTCCCTGTTAGAGATACATGGGTAGGGCCACATCTGTCACAGTGTTTCAACTTCAAACACGCTCTGTTGCTTTTCTAAGAGAATGCATTCCATTCATGCAGCACCCATGAAGGCTCTTTCCAAGTTTGTCATTAAAAACAAACAAATTGTTTTCACCAAAAAATAAAAAGATTTGTCCTTATGTGCAGATCCATTATATGCCCCATAACTCTACATATTTTGTTACAGTTAATCAGGCAGCAAAAGAAGACACCATGGTTTTGAAGATTGGCTCTGTTGCTATGGCTCCCCAGGCTGACAATCCCCTCGGCAGATCTGTCCTCAGGAAAGACATTTACCAGTAAGTTTATTTTCTTACGTTCAGTCTTGCAGCATTTTCATCCTGCGAAGAAGTACACTGATCAATAAAACTTGCTTGGTGTGGCCTGTAGAAATACTTTTCATTTGGGATCTTTTGATATTTAAAACCAGGTTTTTCTGATTTTCTTCAGTTGTGGGTTTTTAAATTCATTCAGACAAATCAAGTATTTCTGTGAAGTGTTGATGAATAACAGAATGTAAGTACCAAGTCACTATAAAATTGAAGAAGCGCAGTTTGGAAAATTCAAGCAGACTTTAAATTTGACCCAGTTTCTGATCATATAAGAAAATGAGGTCTCCTCAAGAACAAACCCTATTGTAGTCATATTGTATAATATTGAAGAAGCATTTTTTAATTTAACTATAAGCAATTATTTGAAATGTAGGACTGTGGATGTCATATGGATCAAAGCTGTAAAAACGAAGTTCTAAAGAGAAATTTCACAGTAAACACTTTCTGTGAAAATGCTATGCTCTGGATTTTGTCGCCGAGTATTTGCAAACCACACCAAGCATATATGGACAACTAAACTGGTGAACATATGTAATCAACATGATAAAAATAATATATCATTTGGACTGAGGTTGGCACTGCTGCCAGACATAAAAGTGCAGTTGCAAATAAACCAAGCAAGACAAGTCACAGAAATGCAGATGAACAAGTGTCTTCGTCTTCCTGCTGGTCTGTTTTTCAGATGTCTGCCTCTTTTAAAAAATAAATCCCTACTATTCGCCTAAACGTTACTGCTAGGAAAAGATGCTCATGTTTGTAATGCATTTACCACCTACCTACAGGGTGATAGCCACTTTAAGTGGGGGGTTTTATTTCCTCAAATTTGTCTATTAGAGTTGATATTTTTTCCTTCAAATGGCATATCATTTTTTTCTTGCATTCATTTTTATGTTAGCTTACAGTATTCATTCCTTAAATAAGTTTTTCTTTTGCTAGCTTATGTAAAACCTTATGATGTCAGAACTAAAAGAGGCTTTATGAATTATCTAATTCAAACTTATTTTATAGATTAGGAAACGGAAGACACAAAAGAATAGTTGTCTCTAGTCAAATATTGATAGAGCCAACATCACAGCTCATATTTTTAGAGTCCCTCTGTATCTAGGAAAATGATTAAGTAGAATCCTTTCTGGATGAGAATAATTGGATTTTCTAATATTTAGAAATTCTCTCAGGTGTATTTATCTTTTCTTTTCACTTTGGAAGTAAGTGGTTCTCAAAACAAGCCCTACTTTACTTTTGGTGAAATATGTTTCCCATTAAAAGACCCTTTCACCACCAATAAAGTGAACTCCGGAGACACTTCCTTTCCTCCTCTGCTCTCTTCTCGCTGCCCTCAGCCTTCCTCTGTGCGATGTGGCTCTCATATTCCTTTGTCCGTCCCGGACTCTTTCTCAGTCTCTCTCCATGTTTACTTTCCCGACTTTCTTCATACCCAGTTTTTCCTTACCTTTCTGTATCTTTCTTCATTCTTTACCTTTTCACTTTCTGTGTTTTTCTTCTTTTTCTTTACTTTTCCCTGTCTTTCTCTTTTTCATTGTCTTTCCTGTTTTGCTATTTTGCTGGATATGTTTTATAGAATATAGAAATATAAGGCCAAAAAAATAAATTGTCAAAAAATGTATTATCCCTTTAGAACTTCAGTGTCTCACACAAAAGACATAAAAATGTACATAAAAGGACATACTAGGTATTTAATGTTTATAAAATAAATTTTCTTTCTTTTTTATAATTGACAAAACCAAGAGATAGAGAATTTTTGCATATTTGCCAAAGGCATATACTTAACTAATAACAGAGAATTTCAGAATCTATTTCTTACAATTTCTTTCAGAATTCTTTTTTAATTCATTTTTCTATTATTTAGTCCCTCCCCCTACTTATAAAATTTAGTTATTTTACTCTCTTGCTCCTTTTCCCTATGATATTACTTCCCCTTTCTTTTAATCTGCTCTTGGTGTTTTTTCTTTCTGTCTTGGTTTTTCTAACTTCCTCAACCTGTTAATGTCATCTGTCAAAACCCACAGCTAATATAGTTGATGGTGAAAGACTAGATACTTTCCCCTTAAGATCAGGAACAAGACAGGAATATCTGCTCTCCCCACTTCTATTTAGCATTATACTGGAAGTTCCAGCCATGGCATTTAGGCAAGAAATGAAATAAAACCACCCAGATTATAAGGAAGATATAAAACTATGTCTTTTTGCAGAGATGTGATTTTATATATAGAAAATTTTAAAGAATTCACAGAAAAACTATTGGGCAAATAAACAAGTTCAAAAAAGTTGAAGGATAAATCAAGTGTAAAAAGTAAGTTCAGAATAACAATGAGCTATGAACAATCCAAAAGTGAAATTAATGAAATAGTTTTATTTATAATAGCATAAAAAAGAAATACCTATGAATAAATTTACCAAAGGTATTGTGAAAATTATACTCTGAAAACTACAAAAGATTGTTCCAAGAAACTAAAAAATGTCTTAAATATGTGTGTGTGTGTGTGTGTGTGTGTGTGTGTGTGTGTGTTTGTGTGTTAAGGATTATTTCTACTATTTGAGAAGACATAGTTGAGAAGACAGTGCTGGTAGATGTCTTCTAAATCATGTACAGACTCATCACAATGCCAATCAAAATTCCAGCCTAGCTTCAATTGACAAGCTGATCCTAGAATTCAGATGGAAATTATTCATGTGGAAATTCAGGGGACCCAGAATAGCAAAAACAATCTTGGAAAAGAAGAACTAAGTTGGACGACTCATACTTCCTGATTTCAAAACTTAAGACAAAACAAAAGTAATTAAGATATTGGAAAACTGGCATGAGGATAGACACATAGGACAATGAATAGAATCAATCCAATTAACCATCACATTTATAATAAATTGGTTTTTGATAAAGGAGGCAGGATAATTCATTGATAAAAAGTAGTCTTAAAAAAATAAGTCTTTTCAATAAATGGTGCTCAGACTATTGCATAGATGATACCATACACAAAAATGAACTAAAAGTGGATCAGAGCTCTAATATGAGAGCTACAATTCTGAAACTTATAGAATAAAACATCGGAGTAAATCTTTGTTACCATGGGTTAAATTATGGTTTCTTAAAAATGACACCAAAAGCACAGGAGAAAATAGGAAAAATAGATAAATTGGACTTCATCAAAATGATAAACTTTCATGCTGCAAACGACTCTATTAAGAAAGTGACAATGCACAGAATGTGAGAAAATATTTACAAATCATGTATCTAATAAGAAACATGTAATCAGAATATAAGAACTTTTCAACTCAGTAATAGAAGAGTGACCCAATTTTTAAAATGGGCAAAGAATTTGAATAGATATATATCCAAAGAAGATAGAAACATGGCCAATAAGCGTGTGTAAAGATATTCAACCCAATTAGTCAGTAGGGAAATGCAAGTCAAAATTACACCCAGTAGAGTGCCTATAATAAAAAAGATAACAGATGTGGAGAAATTGGAACCCTCAGACATTTCTAGTGAGAAGGTAAAACGGTGCAGCTGCTGTGGAAAACTGTTTGGCAATTCTTCACAAGTTTAAACATAGAGTTACCATATGATGCAGCAATTCTACTCCTAGGTATGTACCCAAGAGAATTGAAAACATATGTCTACATAAAAGCATGCACAGCAATGTTTATAAAGCAGCACTATTAATAATAACCAAAAGTAGAAACTACCCAAAGGTTAATCAACTGACGAAGGGCTAAACAAAATGTGGTATATTCATACATTAGAATAATATTCTGACATAAAAAGGAATGGATTATATGTTATAACATGGATCAACCTTGGAAACATGCAAACTGAAAGAAGCCAGACACAGAAAGCCACATATTATATGGTTCCATTTATGTGAACGGTCCGCAATAGACAGATCCATAGAGACAGAAAGTAGAATAGTGATTGCTAGGAGGGGAGAGAGGAATGACTGCTAATAGGGATAGGATTTCTTTTGGGGGTGATAAAACTATTCTGGAATTAGGTAGTAGTGATGTAAACTGGGATGCACACTGAGTGCTTATCAATAAATGATGTATAGTGAGTACAATGAGAGTATGCCAAAAACACTGAATTATTCATCTCAAAAAGGTAAATTTTATGGGGTATCAATGATATTTCAGTACAGCTGATTAAAAAACATAAATATCAAAATTGATGTTACAAAAAGTTCTAGAGAAATTAAATTCCAGAGAGAGAAATTCCTTTTTTCTTTCTTTCTTCTTTTTTTTTTTTTTTAGTGAAGACTGGGTGCTCTTTTTTAAGTCTGGAATTTTTTGCCTTGTCTGGCTATAAACTGAGGGACTTTGTTGTGGAAAGAGGAAGGCAAATGATATTTCTCTGTCATGAGGTCTAGAGTGACATAATGGAATCTAGAGGGAAACCAAACAGTCAGCCCTCCATAGTGCTTTATCTGAATGTTGGGTGGAGAGAGGACTCTAGCAAGAAGAATATGAGTTTCTCAAAGTTTCACTTTCCTAAGAAGACAAAGCCATGGTAGAGACACATTGTTCAATACAGTAGCCACCATCTCCATGTGGCTATTATGCTTTTGAAATGTGGCTAGTCCAAACTGAGAAGTTTTGGAAGTATAAAATATATATAAGATTTTGATGGCGTAAGAAGAAAACAAAGTAAAATATGTCATTTAAAATCTTTATATTGGTTATACATTGTGACGACAATATTTTAGATATATTGAGTTAAATATATTATTTACAACTATGTTCCACCTTTTTTTTTTTTTTAGAAACCTTTCTCTCATTGTGACTACTAGGCAGATGTTTATTTATTTTGGAGGCCCACATTTGTGGTTTGCTTATGTTTCTATCGAGCAGTGCAACACTGTTAAGAGAGGCCTGCAAGAAACACAGGATAAGTCTCACCCTTGAGAAGTTTGAAGTCAAAGGTGAATTGAGTTGAAAGTTGCAAATTCAGCCAG